CAGGAGCCCGGGGGAAGGGGGGCAGGATGGAGGCACAGGAGCCCGGGGGGGCAGGAGCCGGGGGGAAGGGGGGCAGGATGGGGGGACAGGAGCTGAGGGGGGCAGGCGGCCCCTCACCTGGAACAGCAGCTGCCGGCTCAGGCTGTAGTTATCCTGTTCGGAACAGATGGTGCTGAGCTCCTCGTAGCTGCGCAGCGCGTCCCTGGCGGGGGGAGCGGGGGGGGGGGGAAGTGAGTGACCCTTGAGATGCTGCCCCCCCTGGTGTCCCCCCATATCCCGACCACCCAGCTCCGCCCCTCCCCCCCCAGCCCAGCCCCACCTGGCGGTCTCGTCCCAGGTCCGCTTGAGCCGGTGCACGGGGCTGGACTGCAGGGCGGAGATGATGGCGCAGAGAGATGAGAAATTCCTCAGGGCGCGGCACTCCTGGGGGCACAGCGGTGGGGGTCACAGGGGGCCAGCTGCAGGCCAGGGGCTGGGCTGGCTCGGGGGTGAGGGGTCGGGGGGGCCTGGCTGGTACTGGGGGCAGAGCTGAGGTCAGAGGTTGCTCTCACTTCCACTGTTTGGATCCTTTTCCCATGAGTCGGGGGCCCATTGCTGGGAGGGGTGTGGGGGGGTGGGGATGGCCCAGGCTGGGGGCCCGACACAGTGTGGCGACCCCAACCCCAGGGGGCTGAGCTCCGGCCCCACACTCACCTCGGCCACATGAATCCATTTCTCCAGGATCCGGGCCCGCTGCTGGGGGCCAGGGACGAGGTTGGGTTTGGGGGCCCGACGCAGTGTGGCGACCCCAAGCCCAGGGGGCTGAGCTCCGGCCCCATACTCACCTCGGCCACGTGGATCCATTTCTCCAGAATCCGAGCCCGCTGCTGGGGGCGCAGCCCCGGCCCCGCCAGGCAGGAGCGGATCACGGCCCCCGCCAGGCGGTTGAACTGGCGCACCGTGGCACGGACGCTGGGGCAGTCCCGCTCCCGCCCCTTCTTGTCACGCTGAGACCAGAGCGAGCCCAGGCACTGGTAGGGCACGACCCGCAGGAACAGTGCCTGGGGGGGGAGGGGGGCAGGGGTTAATGGGGGGCTGCTGCCCGACCCCCGCACCCATCACCCCTAGGAACAGCACCTGGGGGGGGCAGGGGTTAATGGGGGGCTGCTCCCTGACCCCCCCACCCATCACCCCTGGGAACAGCGCCGGGGGTTGCAGGGGTTAATGGGAGGCTGCACCCCAATCCCTTCCACCTACCGCCCCTGGGAACAGCACCTGGGGGACAGGGGTTAATGGGGGGCTGCTGCCCGACCCCCCACCCACCGCCCCTGGGAACAGCACCTGGGGGGGCAGGGGTTAATGGGAGGCTGCACCTCGACCCCCACCCACTGCCTGGGGTGTCCCTTACCCCTCACTTACGTACAGGAACAATTCCTGGGGTGTCCTGCACCCCCACACCCTGTAACCTAAACACTGAGTCCCCGACCCCGTTACCTACCCCCCCGCAAATACCCTGATGTGGGGGCTCCTGGGGTACAGCCCCCCCCCC